CGAACACAAAATGTTTATCAGATGTTCAGCAGATAATGATTACCATCTTGTCTTTAGTAAAGATGTTGGATTGGTAAAGTAGAGTTGAGGTTGAAGGGAATGTCCTTATTTTTGCAAAGTGGGCTCTCTCGATTGATTTATTTCTTGAATTACCTGACGACTGCTTTCAGTGAAATTATCAGTCAGTCAAGTTTAACTGTGAATAATGAATTTTATATAAATAATTATTTTTGCATTTAACCATTAGCTTACGTAGGCCTTATTTGTATTTGTTTCTTATATTGTGTTACCTTACTGTTGTGTTTTGAATTATATTGAATTTAATTCCTTGTTGAATCTATTTAATATATCAAATACCTTGTCAACCTGCAGGTGGCGCTCAATGAGAAACAGGTTTCATCTTCTGTAGATTGCAGTATCAGGTTTTCTTTTTGAACCATGTGGATGAATATCCTAACGACCTAAATGGTCAAAGTAACATTTTCAGAAACTTTTATTTATATACATGTTTTGCTACATTGTACTTCCACATCACTATAATTCAGAGGTGAATGAAAGTGTACTTTTACTTTACTAAATGTATTTAATAACTTAAATTACTTTTCAAATGTTGGTTAATGATTTGAATTATATTTAACACTTAAATAAGACTTCAAATCCACAAACTACCCTGCAGTATACAAAGTTATTAAAATAATAATGAGTACTATTGGTACTTTAAGTACATTTCTATGCTAATACTTTTGTACTTGAGTAACATTTGGATTGCAGGACTTTTGCATGTAACAGAGTTATTTCTACACGTAGGCCTATGCAGGGCCGTATCCAGGATTTCATAAATACCGAGGTCCAAACATGATAAGGGAGTTCGGGGGTATACGCCCCCTGAGATTTTTGGGATTTTCATGATCTAGTTAGGTGCTTTTTAAGTCCTGTGGGGGGTCACAAATTGGATAATATATTGATTTCAAACCATGTCAGTGGGCTGCAGCATCAATTATCTTTGAAAGTGCAATACATAAGAATCAGTTGATTGTTACTATGAATGATCTGGACATGCAGAAGAGGCTAAAATGATCCCAAAACATTGTCAACATTCATTTTTCATGTCTCTCTCCTTTCCAAAACCTGCACCTTCTCTTCCATCTTCTTTAGTCTCTCTGTCTTCTTCCTGTTCATTACTCTCTCTGTCCTCTACTCTTTCTCTTTGTTCAATCTCTCCCTCGTTGTTCACTTGTTGCTCCTCCTCACTTGTCGCTCCTGCCAGTGAATTAAAAGCAATTCAGCAATTTAGTTAATTTCACTTGTTTGTTTGCATTTTTTTTTTTATTTAAATCTGTTTTGTTTGATTCTCAAAAGAGAACAAAGATGTAAGCAAATTGTGTGGTTTCATACAATTGTATGTTATTATGACATCATAACTGCAATAGATATATGTTGTTTTAAAATTATGCCTATTGTCTATAGTGTAAATGAAGACTATTGTTATAGATAGATAGATAGATAGATATATAGATAGATGGAGTTATTAAGCCTACATTATTTTGTGTGACTGTACCTGCAGTTCCTCCCTGACTTCCATCACTTTCTCTCTCTCTCTGCCTGTCCTGTCTCTTCCTTACCAAAGCTGAGCTTCGACTGACGTAGTCTTTTCATTATATCTGAGTCAGTGTAAAAAGAAAACAATACAATGTTATATCTTCAATGTTTTACTCAAATTGAAATGAAAGAAAAGCATTACAACCAGGGGTTAAATTGGGCCGGGGCTGTCCGGGGCTCAGCCCCGGCACATAGGACGATGCTCTGACGTTATCACCCTCGCTCATTTGTCATTTGTTTAAGCCATATGTTAAAACATCTCTCGTTCTTAATATAGACTTTATTTAGGGTCGATATGTGTTGACTTTACTTTAAAATAGCAGATCTCTGTGAGGATATAGTTTTTCCGCTTAGTGAACGTGTGTCTCTGCTCCGATCAGGAGCTGCAGCGGTGTGCGCGGCTCCTTCGTGCAGAGAGTCTGCAGCGTTGTGTGTGTGTGTGTGTGCAGAGTCTGCAGCGGTACCGCCAAACCCCCGACCCGTCTTGTAACACGGAGCCCGTTTCCTACACCATCAGGGCCGGTTATAACCAATTTGGTGCCCTAGGCGAGATTTTAGCTGGTGCACTTTAAGCACACATTACGAGACCTGATCTACTGAACACCCATATGAAAAAGATCGGTTTACATTTTAATAACCAAATATGTTAACATAACCAATAACCTACCATAGCCAATAACAAATAAATGTAACTTATTTTATTTTTGTTGTTCATTCATATCTTATTTTACCTAGTTAACATTTATTTATGCATATTTTTGTATCTCAAGTTTTAAACGATATTTCTGGTTTACTGTCCTATAGTATACACTGAAATGATTTCAAACCTCTTTATCCAAATAATTATAAAGGAGTGCCTTGGAAATATTTGTTTACATAAATTGCATTTATCTCTCTCGCTCGATCCCACGCCCACTTTAGCTGTGAGCTGCGGATGCCTGATAAGCCAACACCCCCCACTTTCATCACTTACAGCGCCCATCGTACAGGGCAAATGAAAAGTGTAACCGGGGTGAAAAGGGTGTTACATTTACTTAATTATTAATGTTGTTACATCAAGGCCGAAAATTAGGATGAGCGCAAACAGTCAAAAATGTTTTTTTCCCTCCCAGAGCTGCCAGCGCAGCGCCCCCCAGATCTGGCGCCCTAGGCGACCGCCTATGTCGCCTATGCCAAAAACCGGCCCTGACTTAACCTAACAACTTATTTAATTTGTTATCACAATTAATAATGTCATGTTTTTTTTTATTCTTGAAGAGAATGTCTTTTTTTCTGGCATTCTTCCAGGATTAACAAAAATAAGAATAACATTGAGAAAAATCTTTGAAGTAAATGGCTGTTGTTAAACGGTTCCCACATTTACTTCAATCGTACAGTAGAAAAGATAAAAGTATCCAAGGAATACACAATAGAATATATAAAGAATAAATGAAAAATCTCTACAAAAGACCAATACACAACAACAACTGAAACTTATTGACATAGGTAATATACATCAACAAGGCTTCAAATGTATTCAGTATTGTATGAACATGTTTTAATTGGGGTGTGGACGTCACATCCTCTAGGGGGGTCCGGGGGTCTGCCCCCCCGGGAAGAAATGTTTGAAAATGTAAAGTAAAATGCTTCAATCTGGTGCACTTTAAGCACACATTACTAGAGACCTGATCTACTGTAGGGGGTACAACTCTAAACACCCATATGAAAAAGATCGGTTTACATTTTAATAACCAAATATGTGAACATAACCAATAACCTACCATAGCCAATAACAAATACATGTAACGTATTTCATTTTTGTTGTTCATTCATATCTTATTTTAGCTAGTTAACATTTATTTATGCATATTTTTATATCTCTCAAGTTTTAAACGATATTTTTGGTTTACTGTCCTATAGTATACACTGAAATTATTTCAAACCTGTTTATCCCAATAATTATAAAGGAGTGCCTTGGAAATATTTGTTTACATAAATTGCATTTATCTCTCTCGCTCGCTCCCACGCCCACTTTGGCTGTGAGCTGCGGGCGCCTGATAAGCCAACACCCCCCACTTTCATCACTTACAGCGCCCATCGTACAGGGCAAATGAAAAGTGTAACTGGGGTGAAAAGGGTGTTACATTTACTTAATTATGAATGTTGTTACATCAAGGCCGAAAATTAGGATGAGCGCAAACAGTCAAAAATGTTTTTTTCCCTCCCAGAGCTGCCAGCGCAGCGCCCCCCCCCCAGATCTGGCGCCCTAGGCAACCGCCTATGCCAAAAACCGGCCCTGTACACCATGCTAAATGTATGTCTGCATAAAGCTGAGTTATGATCAGTCATAATAACACACAGAATTTGGTGATGATGAAATAGTTTACAGTGAGATTTACTCCCATACTTTTGGCCATACTCACGCAGCCCTGCAAATGAATTGAGATTTCCACACAAATGTTCTTTAGCAAGTGTGCAGAGCAGTGTTGATTTAAAAAAGCAATTTGAAGGTTGGATATTTGTAAACCTTTTTTTGTGTATATATATTAATAATTTAAGATGTAAATTAATTCCAGTTTATTTGTAGTACTTTCTATTTGTATTGTGACATTTGGTGGCATCAATGTGTGCATTTGATACAGATAATGGAGCAGTTGCTTTAGGGCCACAGTGTATATCCCTTAAGGTCAAATAATGAGATCCTCGACCTCCGCCCCCCTCTCGCACCTCCACACAGAGCCCCCACACATATCAAATCCCAATTTAACCCCTGATTACAACGTTTGTTAAAAGGTAATCCTTCTGACATTGGATGAATGAAATTAACTTTAGCTCTCTAGCTAGTTTATTCACGCAATTTAAACCAAAGTATAGCCTATAGCTGCAATATAAGTTAGTGTGCATGTTGTCGGACGTCCACTGACTAACGTAGAGCGTTCACACAGGATCTGCTAGTCATATGGTGTCCTGTGAGGAACAGAAACACAAGCAGCCCGCTGGACTCAGATCTCTAGATACCTCATCACTCCTCTGCTGCTCCGATACAAGTTCGGGACTTCGGGCTGCGGTGGTTTGTTGATACATGTCGTCTTCTTCTGTTTGCTTTAATCGAGGCTACGTAGTTATGCAGCGCCCCCATCGGCAGTAAATGGAAGTACTACTACAAAGAACCCCGTTTAGTGCAGTTATTTCACACGTTTTGTTATATACACAGCTCGGAAATTATTACCGAGGTCCGGACCTCGGTGACCTCAATGGTGGATAGGGCCCTGGGCCTATGTACTTCTACTTTTACAATATCTGAGTAGTTCTTCTTTCTACTGTACAACATCTCTCTCTCTTTACAGTGAGACCCACGTGGCCTCCATGAACAGTCTCCGCCTTCTCATTCAGAAACCCATAACAGCCGCCCCCTCCTCCCTCACTCTGTCCCCCTGGTTCTCATTGTCATACAAACACGGCTCTCTCAAGCCTCTACTCATGGGCTCGTTAATGGTCAGAGCTGGGAAGAACACTTGTCCTGGAGACACTGGGAGATCTAGACTTGCATTTCCCCTTTAAGGCACCAGATGAATCCCAGCTAGGGCTAAATGGAAGAATAACTACACAGACTACAGACGTGAAGCGATCTTAACAGGTACCTACTAGCTCTTGAGGTCACAATCAGCTTTTTAATATATTTGATTTGTTGTTATTTACACATTTGCGCATGAGCATTACTTGGGTCTGGGTTCTTGAAGATAAAACAAATGTTATCAGTTCAGAGACTGTTGGGCATGTGGTTGTACTTCTGCTTTGCGCCTGTAGCTGTGTAATGTAGGCTAAAGGTTACTGTCTACGCTACACAGAGCAGCTATTTCCCCTGTTCAGTGAGTTTAGTGTGACACCGCAGGCTGTGATCATTGCTGCTGAAAGCTCACATAGTTTTGAACAAATGCATTTGTCTTGTGCAAATATTTGACCAGATGTATACAAATTAACTCTTTAAAAGGTTACTTTTCCATAGACTAATTTGCTATGATTGATTTCAGAAAATACAAGCTGTAAGTTATGAATACATGTGTTTCCCTTTTCAACATCTTGAGTTTATTTGCACACTTAATTAATCTCGGAAAAACAGATAATCTAAATTCACTGAACCCATTCCTCCCTGTTGATGCTAGACAGAGATACACAAAAAGGCACTTACTCATAAAGTAAGAATAACTGAAATGTTTTTCACAACAGCCCTCTTCATGTTCTGACTTGTCAGTATTTGTCCAGGGGGTTCGACTTGTAACTTTCCAACTGTCACCTGAAAGTTTTGCCAAGGAGCAACAAACTTTTCTTCTGTCCTACTCGTCTTCCAGGAATTATAGTCCTGTGCAACTAAATTTAGATAGTCGGTCAGTTCCTCCATCCACAGGCAGACACAAATATATTCCAATGGTTTTTTTTTTTCAAGCTGAAACATAAGACTGGTGATCATTAATAGTATACTTCTTTTAGCCACATTAGTCATGGCTTAAGGGATGGCAGTATACCACTTTGGTCTGAACTGTTGGATTGAAATACTGAAGGCTAAACGTCTCCCATTAGATTCATCCTGCTGAATTTGGTGATTACCACACACTTCGTGTTTTGCCACCAGCAGGTCAATATTTTAATTTGTAATAATGTAATAATAATAACTGTATATCATTAGCATATTAACATTGTTATTGTGAGTATGTTAGCATGTTGCTGTAAGCATTTCGCTCAAAACACCACTGTGCCAAACGATAACTTAACAATAATCTAAACAACAAATTCTATATTTAAAAATAAAATGTTTACGCTACTCCAGACCAGTTTAAAAGAAGATATTATAAATATATAATAAATAAAACATTATTTTGTTTTGCATTTCTGTTCAATTAGAGTGTTGTCTTCCTGGACAACAATGACACCATTTATAGGACATTAACTGAATAGATGCAGTTGATATTTTGAGCAGTGTTACAGTCTTTTTCCTGAGGTCATCCTTTACACTGAGGGGAGGAATTTCTCTAGTGAATTGGAACTGGAAGGTCAGACAGGGACACCACCATTGACACTGAAATGTTTGTGAGATACAAACACTCAGCCCTCCAGCCTCGATAGCACTGGTATGTTTTCTCACATACCAATGCCAGCAATATCATTTTCAGAGAGCAGAAACAAACTTATTTGTACAACATTTTGTATAGCCATGTCTGAAGTCATGCAATGCAAAGCTGTGCTGGACATCCAGAATTAAAAGCAGAGCGAAAAGCCTGCTATCATAGAAAGGTGAAACAATTTTCAGTCCAATAAGGGCCACACTTATTGAAAATCTTTCAGGTTTGTATATACATAAAGTGACAAAAGTAATTTTGAGAATAATGAATGAAAGAAAAAGGAAAATATAGGAGGTACAGAAATGGTCAGACGCTGTCCCAAATTTGGAGTTGGAAAGGTGTAGGGTGTTGTTTTCAACCATCCAACAAGCCCTTTTGAAAAAGCATATTGATAGCTTTAAATTCACCCAAAAACATACAAAATTGTTACACCAACCTCATACAGCGTGTCCACACTGAGCTTTTGGGGGTGCACAGCAGATGTCAATGAAGAATATAACTTGTTAGACTCTTAGGCAACGGTCCCTTGGTATCAGGAAATTAAATGAGAAGGTAAAGGTAAAGGTAAATGATATGAGAAGGCAAACAGAACTCAAGTTTATTTGAATGTACCGAACTTCCAAACTGTATCCAGCATCTGGTAGTGTCACAATGTCGCACTGTACCACAACATTTGAATTGATATGGCAGACAGCTTTTACACATACACTTATATTTCGGTACCACATTTGGGGCTCATTATTGTCTTGCTCAAGGAAACTGACAAGTCTATATTGAGCTACGGTTTCTTAATATTTAAGATATAGTCTGTAACATAGAATAATGTGTAAATTACACTTGACTTTTATATATGTTTTGCATATAAAATAGCTTTTCATTGTCCAGTAAGCTCTGCATTTTATATTGGTATGAACACCTGCATATTATCTCAATTTAAGTATATATTATACATTGTAAACACCTGCACCAAAGACTGCCTTTTTTTGCAGGGCCTGTGTTTGAAACTTTATTTGAAAAAATATTATAACAATGTGGTATTTCTACTTCTACCCAGTTTCAGTTTCAAAAGATTCAGATATGACTCCCAGGGACATCAGCATATACCGCCTTTTGAGAGCCAAGTATTTAAGATGAGATAAGGTGAACGAGCTGGCACCTGTAGCAACATTAGGTCTTTGCAGAGGCAAACAGGACTACTTTGGTGTAACATTATTTTACCCAGACAGAATAGAAAAAAAAACAAGTAGTCTAGATCAGCTACAACATTTATAGTTTCAGGGTTGTTTTTTTGCATGAGCAAGTAAATGTAATACAGTTTTACAAATTCAGGACATAAACACAGGGAATGGAATTGAAAATATTTACTGACTGGGTTCTACAGATGCTTGTTGATTAGAAAAAAAGGCATAAGGGAGCTGGTGGCTGTAAACTGAAAACCTGCTTGTCACTTAATATTACTGTTAGAATCAATGACCAATGTAAACAATAGCTGCTGTTCTCTGTGAAGACTTAGACCACAAACCTTTTATGAGACCTGATCAATTGTACAATTGAGTGTTGCATATCAGACATGCTCGTTTATAAATGATATTATTCCTTTCAGATTGTCATTTAACCATTTCCTTTATCCTTTCTCCTTCTCAGTATGAGCTTTAAAACAAAAACATATAAAGTAAGATCAATGCACCAAATGGCACACCCTAAAACATTTTAAATGTAGGTTTTCATATGGACTTTTAAGTCACAAGAAATTGCACTACAGAAAGCACTATTACAGTATATAAAGTTCTTGGTTCAACTGTGAAATGTCCTGCTAATACATTAACTTGGTCACAGTTAGAAAAGACAAATAATTATGAGGAATCCATATCCAGAGTTATTCGTGCCTCAAAGATAAAGTATCTGTCAGATCTACTGTCCATACAGGCTTTAAATAATATTTTCTTTTAGTTTTTTTAGATACTTCATAATTAACATAACATTGCAGGAATTGATATCACAACTCTCACGTTATGACCTTTAAATAACTGGTAAAGCTGTTTTGAGAATCTAGCATATAAAGCTAATGTAGTAGCACACATATTTTCCAGTCTATTTGCTCCCCTCCCACATTAAATCCAAGGCAGCAACACAAAAGCGACATTGATGGAAGAATTACCCTCATGCCAAGCTGCACTGACCCTTTATTGACCTAATACAGAAAGACTGCTGGCATTGTCCAAATTATGAACATTAAAATACAGTCATTAAATGATGTCAATATTCCTGCTGTGGTTAGTGATTATGTTGTTACGTTGCTTGCCCGGTACTAAAAGTTAATTTAAATACTAAGAATGTGCTGTCCTAACCCTTTGCTACTTCAAAATAACAAATAAATGAGATTTGTTTTATAAATGTTTTCAAATTTAAAGTGAGAATCGTATTTCTGTCACTGAAAACCACTGAAACTATTTGTTCTTTTTTCCCTTGTCTTGTTACAGTATGATGAAAAAGCCTTACGAGCCAGAGGACAAGTTCAGGCTGGAGATGGCCACAGCCCAGCCTGCACCCCCCACCCTGGCCCGAGGCGAGTGGTCCAACAAAATTGAGTTCCTTCTGGCTGTTGCAGGACAAATCATAGGCTTAGGAAATGTATGGAGGTTCCCTTACCTGTGCTACAAAAACGGAGGAGGTAAGTTTCATTGTAGTCAAAGAATTAAGGAACAACACTTCTACTTTCTTTAAAAGTACATACCCAGGATGTACTGTATAAAACACAAACTGTTAAGAATAAATATTTAAGTTTGAAAGATCCGACAGCAAGATCTTTATTTATTGCCATAATGTATGTCTGTGTTATAGTCAGAATCTCAATTTCCAAAAACGATTTAGCTTCTCCTATTTTTTGTAAGTATTCTATGCAGCTTTCTCTGTCCACATTCATTCATATTCCTAATGCTGTCACCAAAGAAAATAAAAGTTCACTTATCTCATAATTATGATTTACTCTCTCATAACAAGAAAAAGATCCCACCTTTCTCTCCGTGTGGGGAATGCAATGCGCTCCAGACATCCTTGAAGTGCCCTGTTTCATTGGGTGTGATAAAGTTAAACAAATCACACCTGGCCACTCCAAAAAAAGTATTTGTTCAGAAACTTGTACTTGTACAGTTGTACAGCAACCTAAAAAAACACAAATCAAAAGAAACCTAAAGAAGAATTGTGTTGCATTTAGAAAAAAAACACTGTAAGTGGTTAACATACATTTAAAAACTTTTACCAATTTGATAACACACCTGTGATTAAGACAAATACAGAAAACATGTGCATATTCAGACGAGTTGTCCAAACATGAACACTGCAGAGGAAAGTCAAAGCTGATATAAACTGACTGCTAAACTGATGAGCAGACGTTGAATGTTTTAGATATTTGATATCTTTCATGCTCAACTCTTAGCGTGATTCTTGTGGGTTACCCTATGAGTTTGAACTTCAAACATCTTATGTGGTGTAACTTTCCGTTTCCCCAAGGCGTGTTCTTCATCCCCTACATCCTCTTCCTCTTCACCTGCGGCATCCCCCTGTTTCTCTTGGAGACGTCTCTCGGCCAGTACACCAAACAGGGAAGCATTACATGCTGGAGGAAAATCTGTCCGCTTTTTGAAGGTAAAGTTGGAGAATTACTATCAGAATCTCAATGTGAAATCAAATAAGTATTTTCAAAACATAAATATTTGTGTAAGTCAAAAAACGACATGGCTCTTCTATAGTTGCTGCAGTGAATTTAGGACAAAGCATTTGAAAAGCAATGTGACGGTTCAGACGACAATATCTGTCTATGTGCTAAGGATGTAATAAGATGCAACATAATAAACTAATACAACTTTATTTATATAGCACCTTTCATGCAAGATGCAGCCCAAAGTGCTTTACAGAGTAAGGCGCCGTTTACACGAGGAGAAAACTGCTTGTATCTGCATAGTTTCGCGTGCGTATAGCCCTATTATTTACACGAGGCCGATAGAAACGGACCCCACAAACGATAACGGGTCCCAAGGTGGATAGATTTGCAAACGAAACGCTCTGGGGGGTCAACGGAGTCCGTGTAATCACCTCTATACGAATATTTCCTGAAAAAATAACGATAGCCCCACCTCTCCCCACCTCTCCTGCTCACTGCTGTAGCAACTATCAAAAATAGCTGTGTTAATTAAACGCACAAGGGGTTCTTGAATGAAATAATATTATAAAAGGCAAACCAGAATTGTTAACGCCCAATATACTCCTTAAACAAAATAAACAGAGTCAGATTTCATGCATTGATCCATTATATTGACAATTTTCCAGCCAAACAACACAAACAAAATTAAAAAAGTCCGCTCTGCGATACACCAAACTTGTCTTTACTGCCTAATCCAGGCCATTATTGTTCATTGCTCCTGCGCCTGTTTGTAGGCAGAGGACCGGCGTGTCCCAGAGGAGCGATCTCACCCGGTGTTTGTAGAGAATATCTCTCTTTCTGAGCGCGTCCTCTCCACGGAGACGTGCTTCTTGGTCGGTCGATGCAATATCCACAGATTCGGTTTCTTTCAGTTAACTTCCCCGTTGCATTTATCCATATGCTGAGGAAATTACTATATCCCGCTGAATACCAGCAATCGCCACACACACTTCCTCCTGTCAGTAGCTACTGCTAGTGCTACTGCTACTGACCATGCTACAGATATTAGTGCAAAATCTACAGCTCCTCTACCACAACCATCAGCAACAAGTGGACATGGAGAATTACATGAACTACATGTTGCTAAATACACCGCGGGGCATAAACAGAAGGGTAGCCATGGCAACATTGCTGCAGGGCTGCTCCAGGCTGCTCTTCTTCGCTGCTTTTGGTGTATTTTGGCGGAAGTTACAGCGCCACTTACAGTCCCGGCATATGTACTACAGCGTTTCCAGCGGTCTCGTTTGAACAGACACGTTAAATGAAACGAATGCATGTGAACGGAAGACTTTTTTGAATACGCATACTGTGCATAAACGCAAACGTTCCCGTGTGAAGGAGGCCTAAGACATGATACACAATAAAGAGTGAGAAACATAATAAAAAACAAGTTATAAACAAACAGAAAAGTTATATCACAGAACCATAAAACCATAAAACATGATCAATGATACAACTAAAATTACCCAAAATTAAATAGATAGGTCTTTAATTCACTTCAAAGAATGCCAATGCAGTTTGCTGTTCTCAGATCCAATGGGAGGCTATAGGAGCAATAATACCATATCATAGTTTATTAGTTTCTCAATATATTATACTTTTCTTCATAAGATGGGCAGTTATTACCAGAGTCGGGATCTTACTGTACATTCTATCACATGTTGTGTCTTGCACATTTTCTTTGGTGTGCTCACACTATTTCTAAAAATCATGTGATCACAACGATGTGACGTGTTAGTTAAAGGAAAACACTTTAAGACAAGAGCCTGGACATTAACCTCTTAAGCACGGCGGTCCCCCCATTGGACCCCTCCCACCGTTTTTTTTTCGAGATAATGTCTCAGGGCTTCTTAACATTTATGAAACTATTAATGTGTAGCACCAGATTAACGGGAAGAATCTCAGCTAACTGAAGATATGAACCATTTTTACCAAAACAAAACACAAGTCTCATAAGAAGCGTCTAAATGACCCCTGAGCGAAAAGATTCTAACGCACTGCGGCACACAATTCAAGATAAAGATACCCTTATTACTTATCGTAGCTGCACATAAAATATAGCCGATTAAAGCTGAGACTCCACTGATTATTTAGGTATAGTATCATCACTGAGCGATCCGAACTTGCGACAGGGGAAGCAAACACAGACATCACAACACGTACCTTTACGGAGCTTTTACGGCAGATCGTCTCACCGTAGCTGTCAATTAGGTCAAAAGACGTGTTCAATGGCATTAAAACGAAAAAAAAATGCTACAACTGTTGATCCATAGGTTGATAATGTACCTGTGCCTTTGAAGAAATTATTTATAAGCCATAATTCCATTTTTTATGTAAAAATCGGAGCGGAAAAGTTAGCTGCTAATGGTAGCCACCAGAGTGTATGCAGCTTCCGGTTTTGGTAACGCGTCACTCTCACTCCTTATTTGTTAACGTTTTGGTGTGTATATAACTTTCCCTCGATTCCATTGGCTCTAGCGGTTATAAAGAGATTTCATTCATCAAAATCGAGCAAGGGGGGCCAATGTGACCCAAGAAGTGGGTTTTTTTGGCTAAATCTCTAAAAATGTCAAATTTCACTTGTTTTGCATCAATCTTGAGACAGGGTACTTATTATATGTTGTACTTTGGATTCCTAAAGCTTTTAGTCTACTAACCAAGGGTCTACATCAGACGTGTCAAACTCAAGGCCCGCGGGCCAAATGTGGCCCGCCACGTCATTTGATGTGGCCCGCGAGAGCTCGCAAAGAATATAAACAGTTTATTATACGGTTACATGCCGTTTAAGCACGTTGCCCATAAACTGCATGTCCCAAAATGCATTTCGTTTTGTGACGTGCGCACTGAAGCGACTTCCTATCAGCAGCGGCACTCTGAGGCGGTGAGTGACCAGTGTGTGACTGTGAGTAACACAGAGTTGAAGGAACATAATTTACGGCGGCACAGAGACACCAAACACGGAGCAAAGTCTGCTTCAGCAACCGAGACAAGCAACTCCAGTCCCAGAACAAACAGACAGAATGACCCGCTCTTTAAGAATCAGTCGGTGTTGCTGCGGCTCAGAGACACGCATGGATTTATTATGTTTTAGAAAAACTCGCGTTACGGTTATTTCCGGTTTCTGGTTGATTAAAATATATGAGGTCTTGGCTTGCAGAGTATGAACGTCTTTTTGCTATATTCAGACGATAAATACTTATAAATACTTGTGTAAAGTTTGTAAAGGAAGGAGGAAAACTTCCGCGATCCCTGTCCCCTCTCACTCTGTTCCTCCTCATCACGCCGCCGCCCCCCCCCCACTCACTGCTTACTGAAATAGTGAGTGACAGGTGATAGTAACACAGCAGGATCTGGGACAGGGGGTTCTCAAAGTCTTGGCTTTCAGACTATTAAAATATTATTGCTGAATTCAAATGAAATATAGCCTACTTAAATAATGCTTGATATACAAAAGAAAAATACTTTATTATTCACAAAAAATAGATTTCACAAACATTGTATCTCTTTTTGATAAGATATGATGAGGCTAACTAAATTTCATAAATTCATGGGATTTATGTAACAGTAAGAGAGTGAAATGTTAGTCTGAGCCCACATACAGTATTTTTGTGTCTACGTGCACAATACATTAATGCACAACCATGTGCTTTCAGACGTAGTTATTGCCAAAACCAATAATACTCCAATGCAGAGGCAATATTGTTATACAGTATAAAACATTATTTTGATATTTATATATGTATATTTATATAGTGTTAAAATTACAACCGGCCCTTTGAGGGCAACCATAATGCTGATGTGGCCCGCGATGAAATTGAGTTTGACACCCCTGGTCTACATCATCCAATGGTAGTTTTCACTATAAGTAAAAAAGAATTTTTGGACGGACACTATAATTTACAGTTTTTTACTATGTAAAATCTGAATTTTCTTTAAAATAAAAAACATCTATATTGATTCTGACTTTTCTACATCTAACTCACAGGTTTATCATTACTTTGAGAATAAAGATGATTAATTTAACCCTTTTAGAAGGGAAGATATGGTCATTTGTTCTGGGAATGTCATTTTCGAGCCTGAGACCTGAAAAACAGGCTCAGGGCGTAAGAGGTTAAAGAATGACAGATTCCTGTGTTCCTCACAGGAAAGTTGTTAATTATTGCTTCTTGTGAGCTATTACATGAAGAGGGACAAGTTATAAAAGTTGATGTGTATCTATCTTATTTAAGAAAGCCGTCAAGTACACACATCTTTAGCAAATCTACAACAGTAGAAACAACTTTTACGTCACTGAATGTTCTCTGGAATAACATTGTGTTGTTTGGCAATAATCATTGATATCCAGACCCGGCGTCATGGGCGGGCCCCATGGGGCCGGGCCCGCACATCCAGGATTTGGGCCTGCTGTTTTAATCAGGGCTGAATAAAACATTTTAATTTTTTTATTATTATGTTTATTGTTGTTATTTGTAGGGCTTTGTCCTAATTTATTTTTGTATTAAACTATGTTGAAAGATTAGTTTAATATCATTTTTTTTATTTTGCTAGGAAATTCTGAATGAAAGTCTGAATGAAAGTCTGAATGAAAGTCTGAATGAAAGTCTGCGCGCAAGTGTGTTTTTTTTTTAAGTGAGATGCGGCACAGCAGCCTGTCAAAAGGAAAAAGAAAAAAAAAGAGCTCACAAAATGAATATGGCAACTCAGCGCCAGATGCAGGCACATTAGAATAAATCAGTTACGTTACCAACGAGCTAGCAAGCCAGCCAGGGACATTGGCAAATTGCAATCAATTATATTTTGAAGAGAAATTTACTCCCAAGCCCTCTCTCACAAACTCCTGCTCTGTGCGCAAGCAGACCGCTGCACGCGCTCTCTCCCTCGCTTAAAGGAGAGGTGTCATGCTTTTCCGGTTATTACCCGTCCCCTTGTGTGTTATGAAGGTTTTTATGCATGTAAACGGTGTGCAGAGTCACAACCCTCAAAGTACACCCTATAGTGAGTAAAACTCTAAAGCAGAAAATACCTCCCCAAAACGCCTCGTTGGAGATACGTCATTGTCCATTTGATTCTTCCGGGTACGGGATGATGTAATCCCGTACCCGGAACGAAATGGACCAATCCGTGGAGCCGTTACGTTAAGCCCCCGCTGATTGGTCCAAATTGACCAATCCACGGACTTCCTCAGACACAGGCAGCTCTGCTGATTTCTCCTCCCTGGCTGCAGGCTGATAACAGACAGTTGGGATCGCGGCGAAATTCTCTCTGCAGACCCATTCTCACAGCGTTTATCAACCTTTTTCTTACTCAATATCAAGCCACACTTATTGTTTTTAATTCGGCTGTGAGTTTGTGTGTGCTCAGGATGAATTTGGCTGTGTTTCGCTATGTATCCTAAACAAGGAAACAACACCTCCACGGAGCTCAGCGCGATTCACAACGTCCCGACCAATCAGAGCACACTGTGCTCACAGGGAGGGTGGGGGCTGGAGCTTTTGGAGCTACAACGAGCCGTTAAAGGCAGAGAGTGAAATTCAGTGAATACACGTAGTTTACAGAGATGCTGTATGAGAAACCAATGTGAGTTTGGAAAAATGCACAGTATAAATCTATTTTAGTATACCTCAACAATGGAATTATGATCAGTGGAAATGGCCATGACACCTCTCCTTTAATCTCTCTCTCTCTCTCCCTTTCTCTCCATCACTCCACCCTGTTTGCGCTCAAGTTTGCCTGCGTGCTTGCCCAAGTTGGCACAGCGTTACAAATGTGCCACAAAACCAACCAATGGATATATAATAAGACAGTCAACAGCCTTATGGCAACCTAAAACCCCTCTCTTTCCGTAACAACAATTTACGAGCGCCTCTCCCCCCCGTTGACAAATCACGAGCGTCTAGCTACCCCCCGTTGACAATTCAGATTTCCCGGAGTGTCGGGGTGGGCCCGCCCATGTAAATCAAATGCCCGCCCACAGATGTATGTCTGCCGCCGGGTCTGTTGATATCCCATTATGACTGTGACCCTTAAATTACAATATTAGAATATTTAATTAAATGTTCACTTTAAATAGTTGTATTAATCTTGTTTTTTGAGTTAATCAATTTAAAAAAAATTGTAGTTTACAACTGCAATATTTTTATTTTTCATTAAATGTTTATGATTTTCTATTATGTTATAAATTGGATTTCTTTGTATTGAAATTAAAATTATCTTTACGCTTTATAATTTGTTTGTGTATCATTTTTTAAACTAGTCTTGTCTTAACGTTACCTACTTTCAAGCATTGAGCGTGTGACTTAAAGACCTTTGCTGTTTGTCTTTCTGTTTGTTTGTTTGTTTGTTTGTTTGTTTGTTTGTTTATCTATTTGTTGTTGTGCTTTTTGTTTGTGTATGGCAGGTATGGGCATTGGCCATCAGGTGGTTGTTTTATACTCCAGCATCTATTACATCATCATATTGGCCTGGGCTTTCTTCTATCTCTTCTCCTCTTTCAACTCTGAGCTTCCCTGGGCCAGTTGCAGAAACAGCTGGAACACAGGTATGTGCTGGTATGTGATCTCAATGAATGCATTAAATTAAACAAATAACTGGATTATGATGGATCTTTAGTAAAATAATTGCTGATTATTCCACTGTTTATTGTGTTTAGTGTCTTGCTTTTGTTTTCTAGAGAGATTAATCTGATTTGTGGCTCATTGTAGCATCAGGTTTTGGATCTGAAGTTTAAATGTCAGCTACTGGAAACATTTTAAATCTTGAGGTGCCAGTTTAAATCTGCCTGGCTGTGATACAATTCACGTTATGTTACATACTTACATATCCCTACCAGACAGGTCTCTCATGGAAAATGTTCATTTTAAATGTTTCACTTACACAAGACATCCTTTACTTCCCTGAAAAGTCCATACTCATGAAGTGAGTTCTGGAGCTTTACATTTTCTTATTACACTGCAAATCACACACAGGGCCATGATTGGCTTCCAAACTAGAAACATAGAAAAATGTCTTCTTCAGGACCACAAATAGTGTTAAATGGTCATACCTGCCTAGTACATGTATTTACTTCATTGATAGAGTAGGCTATATGGAAAAGTCTACCATTCCACGGTTTTGACCAAGGCAGCATTTGATGATGTTTGTATTTGCAACAGAGACCTGTGTGGAGTTTGATCGAAAGGATGATTATTTGAACTGGACTGTAGCTGTGAATGCTACATCACCAGTGAAAGAGTTTTGGGAGTGAGTATGAAAACAAAATCCAAAATCCAACTATGGCAATAACATCTTGACGTTTCTGAATTACAACTGAACATTTTATTTGCAGGAAGAGAGTTTTGAATATCACAGGAAGTGTCCATGAGTTAGGCAGCATACGATGGGAGCTGGCTCTGTGTCTTCTGTTGTCCTGGATCATCTGCTACTTTTGTGTCTGGAAAGGGGTAAAGTCAACTGGGAAGGTATGTCAAAGAACTGAGCATTTTGTATGTTGTATGTAAAGTACCATTAACTATTTAACTGTTTAACGACAATGCATTAGATCAAATGATACTCTTTACAGGAAGTGCAATCATATCATTTTTCCGGATACTTTGCCGCTTTCACTACCATTTCATTAAATATTGACAACATGATGTGCTCTTAAGAAGTTAATGATTGAACATAAATGTTTCCCGGAACAACAAGTACATCAAAATGGAAAAGAGGTATACTAGAGTGAGGAGATGACTACAAAGAAATTTGCCAAAGATTATCTTTCGCAATTGAAACTGCTCTGTCATCGATTCTCTGAATGATGAGTGCTTGATCCCTTGATTGGTTGGGTGGATTACGTTTATGTATAAGACATTTAACATTAAATAACTATTTTCCACAATCAAAATGTCACATTTGATCACTCTATTTTTCACATATCTTTCGGACTATTTGGGACTCAAATGTCCGTCAACAATAGCATGGATCCTAAATAAGCGCTTCATATCTACACAGGGGACCTATGTCACGGAGTCCGTCATGTTGCACATTAGCCCAGACCACACACCTGTTTTGTAAATGGCTTTCATGTTTTGACATTACCTAAAAGCCACAAACTAACTTTCACTTTTCCACAGGTAGTGTATTTTACTGCCACATTTCCATACCTGATGCTGGTGGTACTGCTTGTGCGTGGACTTACGTTGCCAGGGGCCATAAATGGGATCAAGTTCTACCTCTACCCAGATCCATCCCGCCTCAGCGATCCACAGGTATGAACACGCTTCACCACTTCTTTGTTTGGAGGATATGTGGCTTTTCTTAATCTACGGGTGATCCTATCCTTACATATTATCATATTACACATTATCTGAACAAGCATTCATGAAAATTAAGATATTCCGGAGATAAAATCAGAAAACTAAAGCAAAGTGTGAAGCTTCTTTTTTGTTTCATCATAGTATTGCATTCAACTTAATGAGAAAAACATAGGTATATATTAATTTATTTGAATACACATGCAAAAGTGAAGGCTAATCCGAGTTCGGGAGTTTGAACGTATTCGTTAATTATACACTGTTTGAAATGGCATCACACGTTCTAATGTAACTGTTTTGGCAGATGATTGCTTTTCTAATGTCACATAAGTCGTCAGCAGTGTAAAGATTAGAAAAACAAAGTGTTCAGCACACAGTGTATTCTCAGAAACAGTAACTGCCTTTCATATGTTATTTATTGTCAACGTGTCCTTTTTTTGACTTTCAGGTGTGGATGGATGCTGGCACACAAATATTTTATTCCTATGCTATTTGCATTGGGTGTCTTACTGCGCTTGGCAGTTATAACAAGTATGACAACAATTGTTACAAGTAAGTTCAATAAAATGTATTTTGTGTGTTTTTCCAGTGTGGGTACTGTTGATTCCCACCGAAATAAAGAAAACGTCTAACACTAAGTTGCCCAGGCAGCAGCTTCAGTAGCGCCAGTGATTTCAATAGCACAACGGTCTCTGGAGATATACAAGACGTTTTGAGACGTTTGCCAGAACATCTCTAATGCCCATTTTAGGCTGCACATTTTGGAGTAGTTTACACAAAGGAAACACCGAGTGTGAAGTGAAGTTTCTTAAAAAATGCTTCTCAGGATTACGGAGCCATGCCATACCTTTACCAAGCCCTCTTAGGCCAGTTTAGGATGTGATGAGTGACCGTGTTGTATGTTAATACAGAGTAATGGAGTTTTCAATATATTTGTGTCTTTTTGTTTTTAGGGACTGTGTGTACTTGTGCCTTCTAAACAGTGGGACCAGTTTTGTAGCTGGTTTTGCCATCTTCTCTGCACTTGGATTCATGGCATATGAGCAGAACACAGACATATCAAAAGTGGCAGAGTCAGGTGAGAATGTAGAAAACTGTTATTAATCAGACAATAAGAAAATAAATTGAATAGCTTTGTAGGTTTAGATCAGCAATAGCACAAATTGCTCCTCATTCCATAAATTTAAATTTAAATTTGACTCCACAGCAGAAAAAAATCCATTATTTATTTTGACCATCAAATTCTTACGGCAGGTCCTGGCTTGGCGTTCATTGCCTATCCTCGAGCGGTCGCCATGATGCCTTTTCCTCAGCTCTGGGCGGTTTTATTTTTTGTAATGATCATCCTACTGGGACTGGACAGTGAGGTAAGCACTGAGAGAACAAGAATCAGACATTTTGTTTCTCTCTTTAATACATGAATATGCAGTAGATATATATTATTTGGAGATGTTTTGAATAATCATCAAAAACAATTACAAAATATTGGTCTTTTGTTCACCTGGTTAAAATATATACATTTTTTACTTTATTACACATAGATTGCATAATAGTCTTAATGAACTTGTAGGGGATTTGGCTTTATGATCTCTTGCCCTTTGTTAAAGTTCTGCGGTTGTCTGACCGATCCATTTATTTCCTCTAGTCATGTTTTCACTGCTGTTTCTTTTGTATGTTTGAATATCTGTGGGTTTGTTACCAGGATACCTAAAAAACAAGCTAACAGATGGTACAAGCCAGTATCAAATGGCCACTGAACTTGTTTCAATGAATTTCAATAGGGTGAGGGATAAGTCGTAATGTCTTGATCTGAATTTAGGTTGAGGGTTCAGATGCAGAAAAATAAATAAAAAATGTAAATTTATTTCGAGAACATTTCAACATTATCATGAACTCCTGCACTTACTAATAGGAAATGTTGGCTTGTGTATCTCAATACTTACTCACTATGTGTGTTTCGCTGCAGAACCAGATCCAGAGGAATCCAGATTACCAAATATATCACCTTAATCATTATAATAAAACTACCTGTTCAGAGGAGTGTGCTGTATTGAAAGAGATGTGCCCTCAAAATGCTAACGGTATGTGTGCAGCATATGTAGAGTTAGTGCGTAACTGTGGGCTCTGTGTTTCAGTTTGTTGGACTGGAAGCCATCGTTACAGCGATTTCTGACACAAACCCTTCCTTCTTCCACGTTGGCCATCGACGTAAACTTCTTCTCCTTGCCATCAGTGTTTTTAGCTTCTTCGTCGGCCTAGTGATGATCACAGAAGTAAGATCCTATCAAAATGTCAAGCCACTTCTTTAACAATAACCTTTGTTCTCGTGTTGAAAGACCCTAACACAACAACTCTGATGTCTCACACACAGGGTGGGCTGTACATCTTCCAGCTGTTTGATTACTATGCCTGCAGTGGGATGACTCTCCTTCTCTTTGCCAGTCTGCAGTCTATCTGTATCGGATGGATATACGGTGAGTTAATAAACAAAAAGCGTCTGTGAGGTTTCTTCAGTGCAATGTTCAATTCCCTTATCGAAGCGTTTCAATCTACTTACAGGTGCAGACCGGTTTTACGAAAACATAGAGGACATGATCGGCTACAAACCAACATCCCTGATAAAGTATTGTTTGAAGTATGTCACTCCAGTAATATGCATGGTGAGTCAGTTAAAGTTTACTCATTCAAATAGTATGCTGATTAATCTTTAGCTAAGCCTGGCTGCCGACATAGTTAAAGGTCCCATGTCATGCTTTTCCGGTTATTACCCGTCCCCTTGTGTGTTGTGAAGGTTTTTATGCATGTAAACGGTCTGCAGAGTCAAAAACCCTCAAAGTACACCCTGTAGCGAGTAAAACACTAACACAGATAAGACCTCCCCAAAACGCCTCGTTGGAGATTTCTCATTTTCCATTGTTTACTTCCTGGGTATCGTGATGTAGGGATGGCCAGTAGCCACGCCCAGAGCTATGACGCGATACGGTCATGCGGTACCCGGAACCAAATGGACCAATCCGTGGAGCCGTTACGTTAAGCCCCCGCTGATTGGTCCAAATTGACCAATCCACGGACTTCCTCACACGCACACACTCAGTGCAGGCAGCTCAGCTGATTTCTCCTCCCTGGCTGCAGGCTGATAACAGACAGTTGGGATCGCGGCGAAATTCTCTCTGCAGACCCATTCTCACAGCGTTTATCAACCTTTTTCTTACTCAATATCAAGCCACACTTATTGTTTTTACTTCGGCTGTGACTTTGTGTGTGCTCAGGATGAGTTTGGCTGTGTTTCGCTGTCGCTAAACAAGGAAACCACACCTCCACGGAGCTCAGCGCGATTCACAACGTCCCGACCAATCAGAGCACACTGTGCTCACAGGGAGGGTGGGGGCTGGAGCTATTGGAGCTACAACGAGCCGTTCAAGGCAGAGAGTGAAATTCAGTGAATACACGTAGTTTACAGAGATGCTGTATGAGAAACCAATGTGAGTTTGGAAAATTGCACAATATAAATCTATTCTAGTATACCTCAACAATGGAATTATGATCAGTGGAAATGGCCATGAAATGGGACCTTTAAGCTATGCCAGTAAGACTTGAAGGAATCCTAACTGTGAGAAAATGACTGCAAAGACAAATTCCCATGATCCCACGCTACCACCAAACTCATTGATTGTTTGATAGTTCTCAATTAGATTGAAACCATGGCAGAAACATATTTGTCATACTTGTAGCTCACTGCCTATCGCATTTATGGTGACAACCCTGTGAAATATCACAAGTGGCGAATATTTTCAAAGTGAGATCAAATTGTACCTGCAATTTACCGTAGGGAGAAGAACATAATGAAGATCGTAGAGATCCTCACTTTAACATTTAAACAGAACGTAACGTGTTCAGGGACATCCAGGACTTGGAGGGGAATTGCCATACTGTGGATCTGCTATCAATTAATAAACACAGTGTTTAATCTATTCCACCCTTTTCTCTTTTGTTTTTGGTTCAAGATAGACAACAAAAAAACATCTCCATATCAATTTATATTTCCACATGTGGTGAAAGCCAAAGCTTGACATCCATTATTCATGTTATCGGGGGGGATTTAGCGGTCAATTGGGGTTTGATGCTCATCACTTGTTAAACGAAACTTCTATTGTTGGAGGTTTTGGCTGATAACAAGTGTCTTATTTCAGGACTATAATTTCACTTTATATATATATATATATATATATATATAATATATATAACAATTTTTATTTTTATTTTAAATAATAACTTCTCAGTTTGTTTATTTATTTAATATTGTTTACATTACTTTTTATTTATTTTTTCCTTCTTATTTATTTTCATCGTTATGCGTTGAATTATTATTTCAGCCCTGGAAATTGCCTTGTAATATTTGTATTGGTGTATATGAGTGCATTTGTGTACTTATACACCTGAACATATGGTGCTTATGTATATTTTGTGTATGTGTGAACATATGAATGTAAAAAAAGTCACTTGAAAATAAGTGTCCACAATGTTTATATGCATATATTATTATTATTTATTTGCCAAGTATGTGTACATATATATATTTTTATATATAGTATTTTCCTTTTCAAAAAAGATAGTCAACTACTATTGACATGTGCAGAAAATGACCCTATATCTAGTTTTCATATATATATGCATTTATTTATATTTTCCCTAACTTCAATTGATTTTTTCCCTAGTTTTTCTTTATTTCTTTGTACTCCTTAATTTCTATACGTTTTTGACGCAATAATGCCAATGTTATATTAGGTTGATTCACGGGAGGGCTACTTCCCATAAGCTATGCTTCAGCCCTCCCGCTTCTACTAATTTTGTTTATCTTTGTGTGTATGAATTATACTTTTTTCTTTTTTGGATGAATTAGTAGAATAAATAAAATAATTTAAATAAAAAACATTTGGTCTATTGTAGCTTGGGAGATTTGGGGAACATTGCAACATAATTGTGTTCATTGTCTAACCCCAGACTTTAACTGACTTCTCCATGACTGTTTTCAGGGAACGTTTGTTTTCTCCTTGATCAAATACACTCCTCTGAAGTTCAACAACACTATTGAGTATCCTTGGTGGGGATATGCTCTCGGCTGGTGGTTTACTCTCTCCTCTACACTCATGGTTCCTCTAATTATGTTGTACAGGGTGTGCACTACTCCTGGTACACTGCGACAGGTAAGCTGTTTGTATAATAGTTACATATTTAATAAACATGTTATTTTATTTTAATGTATTAAAACCTATATTCTTCTTTTTTAGAGGTTCTCTTTTTTATGTACTCCAACTGAAGACCTGAAATTGAACAGATCAGGGAAGAAAGGACTTGAAATGCTCAAGTTGCCCTCATCTGACGGCGTAGTGTCCTATGACAATGAGCAAACTGGAGCTGCTTCAGATTTTCTGAACATCATGAGTCATAGATAATCATGCCCTCAAGTCAGTGCTCTGACTCCTTTTAAAGCTGTGGTCCCCAAGTGTTTATGTTCAAACTCGTACCCCCCTGTCCTTGGTTGCTAAAGCATACTGGTTGCGACCAGTACAATTTTTGTTTGCATACGTTTCAAAGGCATACAAATTATCCATTAACAAAAAACAATGCTTTTCTGTCATTTAAATAACTGCAATAATCATTTGAGGGTTTGAATTCTGACAGAAATAGTGTAAAGATAAAATGTCCACCTAACTGTAAAGGGAACATCTGCTTTTAGCCACATATCATAATCTTCAAGAAAAAACATTCAAAATACTGAATAGTCCATCAAAACATTTTGAAATATGTTCTAAATAGCCAATGTGAAATAGTAACAAACAAAACAAACAAAGCCTCAAACTTATTCAGAAAACTCCTGTCGCTGCGAGCTGAAACCAATGATTACTTTCCTAATAATTTAATCTGTTAGATTTTACTTGATACATTTAGTTTTCAGCGACAAATGCACATTAAAGCTTCCCAGAATATGAGGTAACCGTGAAAAACTTAATATCCTCCCAATTCATCATGTATTAGTGTTTTGTTGATCAATTAATGTATCTTTTAGTTGTGTCAGCTCTTTCATCAAGTGAACCTTAAAACCTGCTTTTCATAAAGAAACAGCATGCTTGCATTCACACTCGTATTTTAAACTGTTACTTTTGGAAAGGAAAAGTGTTGAGAAAATTAGTGTTTTGTTTTATCCAGGTTGTACAACTTCTAAGAGTAAATTAACCATGATAAACACTTGCCAAATAAGCCATACAGTTTGAACACTTAAGTCACTTGTAGGTGAAATTGAATTTCAAATTGTGGATATAGCTACATGAAGCAGTAATATGAAAGAGGAACGGTTGTCCAGCACTTATTGTCCGATTCAAACTTTGGACATTGCCTGCACCTTAAGTTTAACTTAAGTGTGTCTGACATTAGAAGAACTGTCACCATAATAATGTGCATGTAATGCACACAGGAAGGAAATAATTCAGCACAAGTTAGTGTTTGGTGAAAACAAACAAACTCGAGTTGGGTGTGACGATGGAATACCAATTGATAAAGAAAAACACTGAGAAAGCCTGTTGACAGAGCCACAAAGAGTATATTTTTAACAGAGCTATTCCGATTATATTTTTACTGAAGTCTCAACTTTAAATTGTTTTTATACAGAAGGTGAAGGTAGTATTCATATCATTTTGTATATTGTTCTTTTGTATCATTGGCATTCAAATTGGTGGCAATAGCCCTTTGTGTAACATGTAAATGCTATAAAATTACATTACTTACATTTAAGGATCAAAATCTAATTTGTCTATTTTTACGTCTGTTTTCACAAGATTTATGAAAATAATTTCTGTGCTTGTTTGATTCATATTACTGATACATACTGTAATGTGTTTATTTTATATGTCAATCGTAAATAAACAATGTGCCATACTTTAAATCATTTCAACGTCATCTGGTAATAATGTCTCATTAACTAATGGAGTTGCATAAGGAAGAGGCTCTTTTGTAGTTTAAATTAACTATGACAAGTGAGCAAACTGATCAAATAACATTGTGGTAAAATTGTAAAGAGTTAACTTTTAACCTGTGGGGAATTACTCATTTTGACCCCGAAGAAAGACACATCAAAGGAGCTATTATCAATGTTAGTATAAAAACAAAAGACAGACTATGTTACGAAACACGCTCGTAGTCATGAGCTTACGAAGAATAATCGGAATCTGCAGGCCCCCTCGGTTATTAACAAGTTTCAGCGCATATTTTAGCTATTTGGACCACAACTTTACATTGTTCTGTTTTAGTCTGAACGCACTGGTATCAGAAAATGCTATACTATGGTGAGTATGATGGAGCATTCAGCAGGTAAAGACCATATTTCACCAAAAATAGAGTTAAAACAGAAAACATCAGGTGAACACGACCCCAAATGAACAATATTGCTCGTAGTGGCTCTGTAACTGCTGAACGTGTAAATGAAAAAGACTTTGCAAACAAGTTCACCATGTCAACTATCAATAACATATTGGCTTCTCAATTGAAGAATGACATGTTTTATTAATGCAACTCTTAGATTTATTAAATGCTTTTAAAGTGCAAAAAAATAAAAAATATATACAAAGAAGACATGAACAAAGGTACCTTAGGTAGTTTTTGTCTGAAAATATTTCATTGCATAAATGCCGGTTTAAAACATTGATCAAATCTTGCTTTACAGGGTGAAGATCTTTTGAATATATGTAAACATTTTGTAGAACAGTTTCTAATAAAAACCAATCTCAATCGGCAGTGCGGCAGTTAACCAGCTGCATTTTGTTTGTCAAACTTTTCCAAATATTCCTATAATTGGCATTGGCAAGTAATCAAAAATGAAGAATACAGCTCCAAGAGCCCAGGGTATTTTTTTGTAGATGACAATGAGGGGATAAATATTCTGTATAATCTTAAATGCAATAATAATTGCTAGAAGAGGTACTTCATGCTCATTTCCACTGTACAAAATGTTTGAATGTTTAGAGCCAGCAGTACTTGAAAACATATAGCAACAAGCTGTTTAGAAACCTTTCTAATAAGCAACAACAATATACAGTATATCAACACACACACACAAACAGTTACACACACATACACACTGTTGATTTTTTTTTTCCACAAAATATTTAAGACAGCTAAGGTTTTCGTTCTGAACCAAACAATGTTTATAAAATATCTCTAGATTATCGTCAAGACTTTATCCAGATATTTCATGAAAAGATAACAGTGTTGGTTTTTACAGTCACCAAAGTGCAACACTGTCCACTATCAACCATCATTCATACACTTAAAAAAACAAAAAAAACATGAAATAGATGCAGTGAAATAGAGAGACAACATTTCCTGGATTGAGGCAAAAGCATTCACACAGCATTGCTAAGTTGATCAAATGACCAGATTTGAAATATTGACGGTTTTAAAGCTTAATTGAGGTTACTGTGTCTCTCTCCCGCTTACACTCACAGGGTGAAATACTATTACATCTTCCCTGTCAAATAAAAAGGCGGGGATGGAGGTGATGTTAGGATCAACTGCCTCCTTTGTTAAAAAGATTATATTATAATTAAGCGGATTTATGACAGCCAGCTGTTAAAGGAAAATGTATGTGTGTTGAAGATTGTGCCATGCTTGTTTATGCAATTAGCTGATAGATTAACACACGAGTGCAACAGGAGAAAAATGTCATCAATCAGTCAAATCTACCAAAGCTCCAGAGCTAAAACATTTAATTATATGTATATTTCAACTCTCAGTTTCTATTTTATTAAGGTTTTTGCAGCTGCCACTGTTTTACCATGTTATCACTCCATAAAAAAGTTATCATCTGTTTTCACTTCCATAGATCATCACTGTTTTGAAACAATACCAGCCTGGCTTCTCATGAAAAACAGTTTGTACTGTACGGTTAAATGGACAAAAACAAAATTAATTTAACAAAAAATGACCTTTCATGCATGTATTCATGAATAACTTACTTTAGTGCATGGCCGCAGTCTAATCCATCATAAAACAATGCCTCATATTTGCCCAAAACAAGGTGCTGAATTTGAATTGTAATTCTGGAAATAATCTCTCTCAGTTTAGGTTCCTCGTATAGGCTTTAAAAAACAAGTACTGATTTGGCCTCATAGGTAGTAGCTCAATGTTACACAATTACATTAATTTAGCTTTTACTAAAACCAAATAAAGAGAATTTTGAATTTGTCATAACACCAGAGATTTATATTTGTAATTTAGTATTTGTAGTTTGTGCTTTCAGATTCTACTCTCTGCATCTGCTGATGAGAAACTTGAGCTTTCAATCATGATTTCTTGCATTATTGCAGATTCATGTTTGGAAGGTAATCTTTTTGAGTCCTGGATTTGTAGTATTATAGAACAAATGTCCCAACATTAAATGAATGCAGGCTTTTCTACACAAGCTAACAGGACCTATTACACCTTTTATCCAAAGTACATATTGCACATTTAAAGACTAGCAAAAGTTTGAAGTCGAATGACAAATAAAATGTTACTCGTCTGTGTTTTTGAAGAAATGGTGGGGGCTAGAAGTGTTCACCAATTACTCTCTGATTCTGCAGTACTAATTTGTCCTGGCAGTCACACAGTCCATGTGACAGGGGAAATGCTGTTTGGCTTGCAAACGTCCCTGCTTAAGGTCTTTTTTATATGCAGGAATGGTAACGTTGGATGTTGGGATAAAGATGTTTGGATTAGAGGCTTCTTTACAACCTTTTTCTTGCCTCTGCTCCCTGGGCTTGGAAAGCAAAGGAAGCCATGTCTTTTTTTTCTCCCTTTCAAATGTCACTTTGCCGATGGACCGTCCTGACTCCTCCGCCGTCGCTTGATGCCCACTTCACCGTTCATGCCGTTCCTCACACACTCATCCCGCCTCCTTTTTGTCTTTCTAACCTGCTGAGGGGAGATGAAGCACACAAAGGTCAAATGTGAGAGCTTGCCTTGCTTGCTTGGTTCTTTTTTTGTGTATACATAAGCAGTCTTAAATATATTGTTAAGAATGAGTCATAAAACTGATGAATTCTGAAATGTCCCCAATTACTGTTTCTGCAGTCTACAACCCCATTAGGCCTTAAACCCTTCAGGGACATTACTGACGTCACCTAGTAAGTCTTCAGTGCACAAAGCTGCAAAGTCTGCGAATTATGTAAATAGGAATGTGACAATGTGGCAATTGTCAAAAAAGAAATCTAATTGTTTTTGCCAAATCAGTATATTAAAGCAAAATTAAAAGATGTTCTGAGGAATAAACAAGGCAAGCAAGTGTTGTTTAGCCTATGCTTGCATGACTCTGATTTCATGTGCTGTTTGTCATGAACCATCTCAGTCTTTGGTAATGTAGTGTTTAAAAATGTAAAAATTATTTAGTGTTGTTAATTGTCACAAAGCTGTGACTTGCAGACAATTGCATCAGACAAGGTTTGCAGAAATGCGGATGTACAAAGTGCCCTTTAAGGTCTCTAATGGTCAAGCACTTAGATAATAGAATCGGAGGGATGAAACCCCTCTTTAATGGTCACACATGCAGAGCACACAGCACACACAGTGAAATGTGTTCTCTGCATTTAGCCCATCCTAGTACCAGGAGTCTAGTACTAGGAGCAGTGGGCAGCTATTGTACAGCGCCCGGGGAGCAATGGGAGTGGGGGGGGAAGGGGGTTGTCCGGTGCCTTGTTCAAGGGCACCACGGCACGGCCCAGGAGGTGAACTGGGACCTCTCCAAGTAGCAGTCCACACTCCATATTTAGGTCTGTTCGGTGCTTTATTTATCTTAGTATTTACTTAGTATTTACTGAGAATTGAGAAGAGCATCTGGATCAGGATAAATAGATGAGAAAATCAACAAATCCATGAATGAACACTAGAGGTCAGCATAATACTGAATAAAGTACAATAGTTTAATACAAAGGGACGATACTGCAGGCCGTTTTTACTGTAAAAAGGGGATTAAAGCCCTTTAAAACATTTACAAATCAGTTATTTCATTGTAAAATATTTGATGGAGGGCATACCTGTTGTGATTAGCCAAATATTTTGCAGGAGATTTTGGTTTGAAGTGGTGTATCGATATCTTCCCCATGATACCCAAAATGGCTGACCATTATTAAAAAGAGTTAATGTGCCATGTGCCCCATGTACTTCCCAGGGCTAACATACAAATCACATTTTTCATATAGATCACCCTGTTATGGTTTACTAAATATATAATAACACACATCTGCTTTCTAACAATTGTTTATTGTCCTTCCACTATTCTTTGTTTGAATTACACTTATCTAAGCATATTGATATATTGGGCCTTATTCTTGAAATCATCTGTTTATACTTAGTATACATTTTATTATTGAGTTGTATTGTTTTCTCTTCATTTAATATTATTGTTCATATTCAATACACTTGAAGCCACACACACACACACACACACACACACACACACACACACACACACACACGCACACACACACACACACACACACACACACCACACACACACACACACGAGTCAGGCTGACATTTGGCGAGGAATGTTTACCTTGGCGTCGCGTTCTGCAAATTTCTGGAACATGTTGGCATAGGTCTTCTTGTCCTGTTCGTGGTGTTCTTTAATTTTGCTTTGGCAGATGGAAATCTGAGCACGAGCTGCTCGATTTGAAGGGTTGACTTGCAACACGTGCTGGAAATCTTCCATGGCCAGACTGAACTCATTACGGAGGAGTCGTGCTTCCCCACGACGGTACAAAGCCTTCTCATTGTGCTCATCCAGCTCAACCACCTTATAACATACACAGAGTCATAATTTTAAATACAGAAGGTGAATTTATTGAAGTTATATGGTTTTTAAATTTGGATAAATATCATCAGGGTCTACCAGCTCACCTTGTTGCAGTTTTC